TGAGCAAAGATCTTGGTTTCACCAAGTCCAGTACAATGACGTCTAGACTCAAGCACTGGCGATTATTGGGTGAAAATCTGAGATCAGACGAAGCGTTACTAAGTTTTTTTCGGCTTTTTAACCCGTCATTATGACTTCTGCCACAAAGTGACGAGTATGTTCGAGGCAATCGGAATCGCCTGAATCTCTTCACTGACAGCGCCTCCAGGAGCCTCAACCCCGAGGTGCTCGCCTGAACCTCTTCACTGACAGCGCCTCCAGGAACCTCACCCCCGAGGTGCTCCATAACGGGGCCAAGTCTCCGGGTCTTCCCCTGACACACTCGGGGCACCTCCAAGACGACTACACCCTGTGGAGCCCCCTGGAAGGTGTTGAGGCCTCCACTACACATCAAACTGGGCCTTGTGAAGCACTTTGTCACAGCTCTGAACAAGGAGTCAGCAGCAGTCTTCAAGTGCCTTCAAGAATTGGTCAAAATCAGTGTCTTCGACGGACCACAGATAAAGAAGATCCTAGAACGCAAGGAATTCCCCAAGAAGCTCAATAGCGGGTAGAAACTGCATTCAAACAGCTTTATCACAATGCCTTGGGGTTTCGTGGGCAATCACAAGGTCGCAATGGGCTGTAGAATGTCCCTTCAAAGTTCATATTCTTGATGCTGATCTTGAGACGTTCAAGGAGCACTTGGGAGCATACTCCAAGGGTCAAAGTGAGCACTTACACAAGAATATACTGGACTTAGAATGCCACTATCAAAGACAGTTTAGTGAGAACATGAGTCACTATACTTCAGGGAATTTTCCTGAAAGTGACTTAATGTATAATCGTAAATCTCCAAAAATCTTTTCACTTCTAAATCTTTTGTGGTTATTTGTGTATAACTTGAGTATAAATATATGTGAGTTTCGATTAATAATATGTTGTTTTGTGACTGTACATGAGCGAAAAGTGAAAATTTGTCCGTTTTTCCATTGGAAATAGGTAAATTTCAAAATATCACTGTCCTGGTTACTACTGTTTGGTTATTGCTCTGGTCACTCCCCTGGTTACTGTCCTGGTCACTCTCCTAGTTACTGTCCTGGTCACTCTCCTAGTTACTGTCCTGGTCACTCTCCTGGTTACTGTCCTGGTCACTCTCCTAGTTACTGTCCTGGTCACTCTCCTGGTTACTGTCCTGGTCACTCTCCTAGTTACTGTCCTGGTCACTCTCCTGGTCACTCCCCTGGTTACTGTCCTGGTCACTCTCCTAGTTACTGTCCTGGTCACTCTCCTGGTTACTGTCCTGGTCACTCTCCTGGTCACTCTCCTGGTCACTCTCCTGGTCACTCTCCTGGTCACTCTCCTGGTCACTCTCCTGGTCACTCCCCTGGTCACTCTCCTGGTCACTCTCCTGGTTACTGTCCTGGTCACTCTCCTAGTTACTGTCCTGGTCACTCTCCTGGTTTCTGTCCTGGTCACTCTCCTAGTTACTGTCCTGGTCACTCTCCTGGTTACTGTCCTGGTCACTCTCCTGGTTACTGTCCTGGTCCCTCCCCTGGTTACTGTCCTGGTCACTCTCCTGGTCACTCTCCTAGTTACTGTCCTGGTCACTCTCCTGGTTACTGTCCTGGTCACTCTCCTGGTCACTCTCCTTGTCACTCTCCTGGTCACTCTCCTGGTCACTCTCCTGGTCACTCTCCTGGTCACTCTCCTAGTTACTGTCCTGGTCACTCTCCTGGTCACTCTCCTGGTTACTGTCCTGGCCACTCTCCTAGTTACTGTCCTGGTCACTCTCCTAGTTACTGTCCTGGTCACTCTCCTGGTTACTGTCCTGGTCACTCTCCTGGTTACTGTCCTGGTCACTCTCCTGGTTACTGTCCTGGTCACTCTCCTGGTCACTTTCCTAGTTACTGTCCTGGTCACTCTCCTGTTCACTCTCCTAGTTACTGTCCTGGTCACTCTCCTAGTTACTGTCCTGGCCACTCTCCTAGTTACTGTCCTGGTCACTCTCCTAGTTACTGTCCCGGTCACTCTCCTGGTTACTGTCCTGGTCACTCTCCTGGTTACTGTCCTGGTCACTCTCCTGGTCACTTTCCTAGTTACTGTCCTGGTCACTCTCCTGTTCACTCTCCTAGTTACTGTCCTGGTCACTCTCCTAGTTACTGTCCTGGTCACTCTCCTAGTTACTGTCCTGGTCACTCTCCTGGTTACTGTCCTGGTCACTCTCCTGGTCACTTCCCTGGTTACTGTCCTGGTTACTGTCCTGGTCACTCTCCTGGTCACTCCCCTGGTTACTGTCCTGGTTACTGTCCTGGTCACTCTCCTGGTCACTCTCCTGGTCACTCTCCTAGTTACTGTCCTGGTCACTCTCCTAGTTACTGTCCTGGTCACTCTCCTAGTTACTGTCCTGGTCACTCTCCTAGTTACTGTCCTGGTCACTCTCCTAGTTACTGTCCTGGTCACTCTCCTAGTTACTGTCCTGGTCACTCTCCTAGTTACTGTCCTGGTCACTCTCCTAGTTACTGTCCTGGTCACTCTCCTAGTTACTGTCCTGGTCACTCTCCTAGTTACTGTCCTGGTCACTCTCCTGGTCACTCTCATGGTCACTCTCCTGGTCACTCCCCTGGTCACTCTCCTGGTCACTCTCCTGGTCACTCTCCTAGTTACTGTCCTGGTCACTCTCCTAGTTACCGTCCTGGTCACTCTCCTAGTTACTGTCCTGGTCACTCTCCTAGTTACTGTCCTGGTCACTCTCCTAGTTACTGTCCTGGTCACTCTCCTGGTCACTCTCCTGGTCACTCTCCTGGTCACTCTCCTGGTCACTCTCCTGGTCACTCTCCTGGTCACTCTCCTGGTCACTCCCGTGGTCACTCTCCTGGTTATAAAAGCAAAGTTTGAATGAAATAATACACATATTCTATACTTTGTCAGGTTAAGCAATTACGAGACATCCCTTATTGCCTAGGAACACAAATTCCTACATTGTGTATAATACACACACACACACACACACACACACACACACACACACACACACACACACACACACACACACACACACACACACACACACACACACACACACACACACACACACGCCAGTGTATTTTTCAAAATACGAACACTGATATTTAACTTAAATCCGAAGCGTGTGGCTGGGATGAACGTATAGAGCAAATGAAAGTTAGAAGCCAAGGCAACGGTGACGCCCTGGTGATCCAGGTGGTTCATTCCTCTGATAACATACAATTACTTGAAATAACAGAAAGCCTTCAGTTTAATTGAAGTTAGAGAAAGCGTCTTGAGAATCCATTAAGGTCTTGGGACGTGTGGGATTGATCTTGATGACGTTGACACTGACATAATTTGACGTCTTCAATGACTCTTAATGGAATTTTAGTGTTATCTTGAGGTTATCTTGAGATGATTTCGGGGCTTTAGTGTCCCCGCGGTCCGGTCCTCGACCAGGCTTCCACCCCCACGAAGCAGCCCGTGACAGCTGACTAACACCCAGCTACCTATGTTACTGCTAGGTAACAGGGGCATAGGGTGAAAGAAACTCTGCCCATTGTTTCTCGCCGGCGCCCGGGATCGAACCCGGGACCACAGGATCACTGTAGTTTTTCAAATTCCCAGGTTGGGAACAGTGCTGTTACAATTTTATAGTTATAGTTAATTTGAATTTTATTAAAATAATTATGTGCACATGTGGAGGACGTGGCACAGTGGGCTTCGTTCTCGGCTCACAATCGCGGGACTCTGGTTCATTCCCCGAGCAGGACAGCAACGATTTGGCACCTTGTCCTTTAATCTAATGCCTCTATTCACCTAGCAATAAAATAGATTCCCGGGAATTAGGAAACGAAAACAGGAATTATATTTAAATTAAATCTACTACAATTAGCAAATATTTTTCAAAATGATAAATCTACATATTTTGTTCAAGTAATTTAGAATCAAAGCTTCGAGTGCATGGTACGAGTAACAACGGAATATAACATTACTTTCAACATTAAAACTCATGTGTTTCGGCTTCCCTTAATAAATGTCAAGTCTTCCTACACAACAGCCCACCACAGCTCAGTCTTGGTTGACACAGCCATACCATCCTAACCAGTAACCCTCAACCCAATTCCAGTAAGTCCAACCCAAGCCAAATCAACCCAGTATACGATATCCATCGAGTTCATCCACCAAAAGAAATCCTCGTACAGCCCAGTTCACCTTACCTTATCCAACAGACAAGTTGGATAAGATAAGATATCTTATCTTATCAACAACAGTGATAAGGCAACGGTGAACCAGGTCTACCCTACACCAGAGGCAACAGTGACCCAGGTCTACCCTACACCAGAGGCAACAGTGACCCAGGTCTACCCTACACCAGAGGCAACAGTGAACCAGGTCTACCCTACACCAGAGGGAACAGTGACCCAGATCTACCCTACACCAGAGGCAACAGTGAACCAGGTCTACCCTACACCAGAGGCAACAGTGACCCAGGTCTACCCTACACCAGAGGCAACAGTGACCCAGGTCTACCTTACACCAGAGGCAACAGTGACCCAGGTCTACCCTACACCAGAGGCAACAGTGAACCAGGTCTACCCTACACCAGAGGCAACAGTGACCCAGGTCTACCCTACACCAGAGGTAACAGTGACCCAGGTCTGCCCTTCACCAGAGGCAACAGTGACCCAGGTCTACCTTACACCAGAGGCAACAGTGAGCCAGGTCTACCCTACACTAGAGGCAACAGTGAGCCAGGTCTACCCTACACCAGAGGCAACAGTGACCCAGGTCTACCCTACACCAGAGGCAACAGTGACCCAGATCTACCCTACACCAGAGGCAACAGTGACCCAGATCTACCCAACACCAGAGGCAACAGTGACCCAGGTCTACCCTACACCAGAGGCAACAGTGACCCAGATCTACCCTACACCAGAGGCAACAGTGACCCAGGTCTACCCTACACCAGAGGCAACAGTGACCCAGATCTACCCTACACCAGAGGCAACATGACCCAGATCTACCCAACACCAGAGGCAACAGTGACCCAGGTCTACCCTACACCCAGAGGCAACAGTGACCCAGATCTACCCTACACCAGAGGCAACAGTGACCCAGGTCTACCCTACACCAGAGGCAACAGTGACCCAGATCTACCCTACACCAGAGGCAACAGTGACCCGGGTCTGCCCTACACCAGAGGCAACAGTGACCCAGATCTACCCTACACCAGAGGCAACAGTGACCCAGATCTACCCTACACCAGAGGCAACAGTGAGCCAGGTCTACCCTACACCAGAGGCAACAGTGACCCAGGTCTACCCTACACCAGAGGCAACAGTGACCCAGGTCTACCCTACACCAGAGGCAACAGTGACCCAAGTCTACCCTACACCAGAGGTAACAGTGACCCAGGTCTGCCCTACACCAGAGGTAACAGTGACCCAGGTCTGCCCTACACCAGAGGTAACAGTGACCCAGGTCTACCCTACACCAGAGGCAACAGTGACCCAGATCTACCCTACACCAGAGGCAACAGTGACCCAGATCTACCCTACACCAGAGGTAACAGTGAACCAGGTCTACCCTACACCAGAGGCAACAGTGACCCAGGTCTACCCTACACTAGAGGGAGAGAGACATCCAGCCTCTCGTGCAGAAGTCATACAGGTGAGAAGCCACATCATCAACTGACAGCCCCCTGGTGATGACTTATGTATACTCTAACGTTAGTGTCTATTATAACTTCCTGCTCACATGACTGTTAATCAATTCAATTATCGTCAAAGGTTGAGTGGAGAGGAGATGGAGGAAGAAGTTGACTAGGATGACGATAGACTGACGAGGTCATCACCATCCACATAGGAACGATAGACTGACAAAGGCATATACATCCGTATAAGGACGATTGACTAATAAAGGTATCAGCATTACATTCTTACCTTCGGGCCTCTCAAATTCGTACCCAAGATACACACACACACACACACACACACACACACACACACACACACACACACACACACACCACACACACATGCACACACACACACACACACACGCACACACTCACAAGAGACTAGTGCAAAAGCTGGAGATGC